CCTCCCTCCCTTCCTTCCTTCCTTCCTTCCTTCTTCCTTCTTTTCCTTCCTCCCTCCCTTCCCTCCTCCCTCCCTCCCTCTTTAGTTCTCTCTCCCCTCCTTCCCTTCTCTACCTCCCCTCCTCTTTCTCCTTCCCTTCCATTTATCTATTTACTTATTTTCAGCCAATGTCTCACTGGTGTGACATAGGTTGGCCTCAAAGCCCTGAGGCTGCCTCAGCCTCCACTGCTGCAGTTAAGGTGTCTTCCACTATGTTTGGACTGGGCATACATTGTATACAAAATCTACAAGTGATTCGGGAGGGCTAAACTCACCCCTGCTTTGTTCTGCTCACAGAGGAAGCCCCACATCAGCTCCATGAAATCCACCTTCTCTACATGTGTGCATCTCCCTCTTTTAAAAATGTGAGCACTTGTATTTTGATCTGTATCTTTGTTTACTTTGGCATATCTGCTGCCTTCAGCTCAACTTTTCTTATCTGGAAAATAATATCATATGTGCAACTGTTTTTGAATCTGGTTTATCAGTCCATCACTCACGGGATGATGAAAAGTGAGTATCTCTTTCCCCAGCCATCGTGTTTGTGTCACTGAAGAAACACCCAACCCTGCATACAGAACCCCCCAAAGACGCAGGAACCTGGTCTCCCCGCTCATCCTGAATCAGGCCATTCCCTACATTCCAGTGTAGGGGTAGTGATGAGGAAGAAGTGACCAACACAAATAGACCATCCAAACCCATCAATCAGGTTGCATTAAGCTTTATAACAACACAGTTTCCATTTAGTGGGAGAAATGACAGTTTAATAACAGCTGAACAGATTCAACTCTCCCCAGTCATACAAATTTCCAATTTTACTATAATTCCTGGCTTTGGAGATGTGCGAACAAGTGCTTTATGTCAAATGCTGTGTTTTAATTGAACCATACTAATGGGAAGGGACACTTTATTTGGCAGCCCTTGAAGAGGATGTCTGCAGACAGTCCTTGCCCTCCCCCACCCACTTCACACTGCAAATCAACTTTCTTGCCAATGGCCCAATAGATGCCATCTCTGAGTAGAGAAAATGAACCATGAGGCGACCCTGAGGGGGGCAATAGTGAGACAAACAGAAAAACATTGAGTGCTCCCTCCCTCTCTGCATCTAGAAGGGTTACTCAGAATAACTAACAAGCAAGCTATGGTCTTTGTCTCTAGAGCAGAGCCTATCCCTAGAGCATGCCTCAGGACCAAGATCCTTAGGGAAGAGGATCTTTAGGTAAGGGGCCCTCCCACTTAGAGGACTCAGTTTTCCCTTATACCCTCAGTTACAAGCATTCACCTTTGCCAGCCTCAGGGCTCAAATCATAGCTGCTGTCTCCCTGTTCTAGAAGCATTCATGGGGGCCAGATTCCAATGTGAGGATGTGTGCTAAGGTTCTCCATAATTTAGAACACTCAAGAAGAAAGAGACCCATCTTGGATGGCTCTCAGATAGAAGGCTCCAGGGGTGTAGGCTATTTTTTGGTGAGGAACATACGTGCATGCCTTTGCCTTCATATTGTGGGGAGGGAGGAAGTCAAAGGGTTGTGGGATGAGGCCTTTGATGGGAAGGCTAGACAGGCCTTGGAGGGAGGATATGGCTCCCTGGGAGTCTTGGAGCTCTCAGTCACAAATGGCATTCTAGAGAGATGCCAGAGCAGAAGTTTACATACCAGGGACTAAACATAAGGCTAGAATCCAGACTCCCAAGACTAAGTAAGGGCTCCTGCAAAGTACATTTATCTACCTACCTTCCTTTCCTTTCCTTTCCTTTCCTTTCCTTTCCTTTCCTTTCCTTTCCTTTCCTTTCCTTTCCTTTCCTTTCCTTTCCTTTCCTTT